AACCCTGATGAAAATAAATATTACCTTCTCACTCCATATCCCACATTAATGCAATCACTCAAAAAATTTTCACCAGAAAGCATTCGCGCTATCGCTCGAAACCCAAATATAGACCTACAATCAATAGGAATATACTCAAAATCAGATATTCAACATCACATTAGAACACAACAATTCCAGGAATTATTAACACAAATGGACACAATACAAAGACAATCAATTGACCAAAACTTACGCAAACTTGCAGAAACCGCAGGTTTTGCCGATATCTACACACAAGACTATAGCGGATATTTTAAAGACATTAAAGATTATATATATCTAAACGGTGAAAAATACCGTCCCCAAGATATATCACCAATTAACATTTTTAGCTTTGTTACACTCAAAAATGAGATCCTCGATTTTCTAGGATGGCCCTACTACATCTTAGAAAAATTGACTATTTTATACGCAATGTTTAACTTTATTGGATTTCTTTTCTCACTCTTAAAAGGAATCTACAATACATGTGCTATACACACACAAGTAAACAGACAAGCAAGCGTAGCACGCATACTCTTTGCAGGATTTTTTGGAATTTTTTCCACATCTATAAACAAAATTCTTTTAGACGCACAAATAAAAGAATATAACACAAAAATAACAACACGACAGAATACATACGACGAAGAACATAACAATGTCGACACACAGCCAACGGCACCACAATTACCACCCCTACCAAATAACCATCCACTATCCCTAGTCCCACGAAATTTTCGAAATTTAGCAATCACACATAATCCAAATTTTCGACCCAATACAACGCAAAGTCCCGTCCAACATATAATGACACATCAATCACAAGATGATAATACTTATGAACAAATTATTGAACAGCCCCATACCACCGCTTTTCAATCTCAAAATAATAATTTTTTTAGCCCACGATGAGCCGCCAACTTGGATCACTACACCGATCAAATTCCCATCCAACCAATCTTACCTCTCCAATCCCAATCATACCACTTTTTGCTTTTCCGCCACCCGATTTTCCATCTAGCAATGTAACATCAGGCATGAATTCCGACACTAACTCACATATTTCAGTTTTATACTCCATTTCACAGCTAAATAACCCGAATATTGAAACCCCCGATGAATTCGCCGACTCAGAACCATCTCCATCCAATAATTTTCATAACCCTTCTAATTTTTCTCAACCCCCTTTTCAACCCATATTATCCAATAACCCTGACCCAATCACTCCCACACCCTCTTATGCTTCCCAAGTTACCCCAACCTACTCCTCATACCATTCTGACCAATCATCTCATTCTCCAGACACCCCCCGAATCTCCCCAGAACTAGATAATTTTATTACCCTCCAACAACAACCCTACCACCTTAACACCCCGACCATAAACCAAATCTCCTCCACTACAAATTCATCCAATCCCCCTACACCCTCTTCAAATTATACTGAATCATTAACACCATCATCCACATCCACTATATCCTCACTAAACACTAATAGAGCTTACCGCACTTTTAAAAGAAAATTCCCCAACCATCCTTTCCCAGCAAAACCAGGAACAGCCCGTGAATACATCAACCACCCCCAGCATACTAACACTAAAGAATTTTTAGCTATCACTTTACCCTCATTTCCACAATACACCTTAAACACCCCTCACGACGCTAACGAAACACGCAACTTTGTAGATGAATACGTTTTAATGCCCACTCTCTCTTGGACCTCATATTATCATTTTACTAACCCTCTTTGCTTACCTTTATCCAACACTTCCATCGATATAGAACGAAACAAAGACATGCTATATCGACTAACTACACCACTAACCGCTAGACAGTTTACTTACGTTGGATATAAAAAATCACTAAAAATACACACTGCACCTAGAGCTAATGAATATACGCTAGAATACTACGATCACAACATCATCAGAGCTAACCAAGATCAATTCTTAGATGACGATCGCTTCGCTAATCCACAAATCACCGAGAAATTTTTCATCAAGACACCATATGTATTTACACTAAACATCTTCGACCGAAAGTTTGATCACATTATTTCAGAAGCACTAACAAACACACAGGCATACGAAAGTTTTAAAGAACGCTTCCAAATCTTTTCACTAACCTTTCATTTCCTTGCACCACACGAAAGAGATTTACACTGCTCACACGATATTATGTTGCGCACTAAACAAACACATACATACAGTTACTATCGTTTCATCCAAAATCACTTTGACCTCCACACACCCTCTAGACAACCACACCATCGTTTTCAATTCATCAATTCAAAATACACTTCACCGTATTTCCTAAATTTCACATATTGTATTAAAGACACTAACCTCCATGGTATTCTTCGTAATTATGACCCCATAACCCAAATGTACATTTTCTGCCCCATCACCAAAACCTTCAACGCCGAAGAATCCCGACCCTTCCTTATCCCGCACGAGTTTGTACAACCTATAGAAATCCCAATTTTAGAATTCATCCACAACACTAAATTTAACCACAAATTATATAACTTAATCCAAAACACACCTTATGAGTTTGCAGTAGGCACTGAAGAACTAACCACTATTAAGGCACTTCAATTGCTTTGGCCACTGCTTCAAACTAAAAATATCATCCGCATCTTAGCTAAACTACTAACAACTTCAGAACTAATTCACGATATCTTCCCCCACGGTTTTTTCCCCGACGACTAACAGGTAAGTATGAATTAAATGAATATAACTAACTAATTGAAATATTAAAAAACTCACCATTCTTTATTCATGTTTTCATTAAATTTTTAGCTTTCATCCGACAATCACCTACAAAAACCACAAAAGAAACAATAAAAATCACAATCTTCATCAAACAATTTTAAAATTCTATTAATCTCCTACACTTATAAATTTCTAAATTTAATATCAATGCAATAAATTCATTTATAAAATTTTCCCCCAAAGCAGTAAATCTAATTATGATGAAAATTTGTATCTTAAAATTCCCCCATAACTAGCAGTAAATTTCCAAATTCTATGCAGTAAATTAATAAAATGCAATTGCAGTACTAACCTTTTGATATTTTCATTCATTCGCACAGAAATTCTATCCACACTCGCACAGCTCGCCCACGAAGAATTGTTTAAAATAATGAATTTCAGTTTCAAGTTTTCACACTCAACAACTCTAACATACAATAACATGTTTCAAACTTTCCTTTAACCCGGTTGGAAAGGAATCATATACTAAACAAAACTAACCAACGCAGCTTACTAAATACCACAAATCATAGAATAACAGCATGACTAAGAAAAGGAAACCAACGGTACCCAAACCGGATTAACCCAGTTTAAAACTGGATAAATTATTCTTTTGAAGACTATTACAAAGTCTTAGAAAGAAATAATAAAACACAAAAAAGTCGAAAGACAAACCCATACCACAAACAATTTGATTTTTGAAAAAAGGACACAACCAACGAAACATAAGAAAAACCACAACAAACCCAACATAAAACGTTGTCACATAACAGGACCCCTCACAAAAACCGCATGAAATCATACTCCCACACCTGGCCTAACCCACCAGGAAGGACGTCCTGAGCATGCTCTATAGCCGGCCTAACCCACCGCGCTACATCCACGCTTTGTGACCACACCTTTATTTTTAATAAGAGCTACTCAAGGGTGAGTAACTCTTCAAAATAACCGAACTAAAACAAAAAGCTTTTGTGAAAACAACTAACTAAAATCATTATTAAAAAATATTAAACTAATAAAAGTTTTAAAAAATGTAAAATCACATGATGCAATATATAGATCAGAATACAACACCAAGGACGAACATCAAAAGACAAGACGACCTCACTACACTCGAGAGAGAATGACCAACTACAATCGATATGCCGCTCACAATCACAACTCAAAGGATTTAGAGTACGACTTGACTTCGCAGAAAAGGACTTCATTGAACTAGACCAATGACCACCTCGATGTTCAAGTATACGTACAGATCCGAGTAACCAGGCATCCCCTCCACGCACAATCTCCACGCCATTCCCAAGCTAGATCAGACACAAAGGAAGTTCTCCCCGAAGAACAGAAAAACCTGACATAGCCAACCATTCTGAAATCAGAATTGATTTTGTTGCAGAGACTCAGTCGTTGTCACAAGAAGAAGCGGAAGAAAATTATGATGTTCGCCAAATACCAACGTCCATCATCCACCCTTGAATTACAGAAGAACTGTTCTAAAAAACTCTGTAAAACCCGGATGGGTGGAACCTGATCTAAACTATATTTTATGATTGGATAAATTAAATGTTTTACCAATGTAAAGTATTTAATATTAACCAATCATGATCCATCTAACTAACAACCCACTTATTTGTAAGTGCTGAAGTTACTTGTAATTTCAGCACCAGAGAGATTTGAATTTAACTTAGAAATTAGTTGGACTCTCCCGAGCACTTCAGCAGCCGCAATAAACCAGTATACCCTAGATCTATTGAGCCTAGCAGAGACTAGTTAAACAACCTGAGACTAGATAGTATAAGAGTAAGATTAGGATCGGTATTAGACTAAGAAGTTGCACGAATCTATCCGGCCGAAAATAAGATAGCGTGACGAGCAGACGGTGTACCCTATCCGAAATTACTCTATGAGTTATACACTCCAGTCATAACTCACTTCATTGGATGTAACATTGAAGTACTTCACTGGAGGAAATAAGGTTGGTTTGGGAAATCTGTTATTAATATGAACTTATGAAAAGAATTCCATTTAAGCTAAGTGGTTAAAAATTTAGCGGATCTACTAAAAAGCCCCCACTCCCTATGATATATACTAAATAATCACCACCCATCCCCCTCTAAATATAAACAGTAAATCAGCACTTTATCTTTCTACTGAGAGTTCTAATTTTGCTGCATTCCGATTTGAGAGAAAAAATATGTTTAATGTCGATTCCATTGACTTTTATTGCAGAAAACGTTGGAAAAGAGCTACGACTGGGACAAGCAACGTAAAAAGAGCGAAGATATCCAGTACCAAAGAATGCGCCTCGCACTTGTCAAGGGTATCCAGGACGTCCTAGACGTCATGGATACCGCTCACGTTCACGTTCCAGAGCCACAATCACGCTCACGTTCCAGAGCCGTCATGGATACCGCTCACGTTCCAGAGCCACAATCACGCTCACATTTCATCACGCTCAATTTCACTGCACGGGAGCTGAATAACAAGGGCCGCAAAAGACTTCGAACTTTTGAGAAGCGACTGAAGGAGCTCGTGAATAAGAAGAAACCAAGGTCAACTGACCTTCTGAAAGACTTGACAGGACAGATAGCTGAGGCCTTTTCCAAAGACGAGTGGTTCTTCAGATGGGGCGCCCATTTCTGCCTGTCAATCACACTGGCTCATTTGCACCAGATCTGCAACAACTTCAAGGACCCCGGAGTCCAACACTACAGCATGCTACAACTGCAGTGAGCTTTTCAGAGAAACGCGCGATAAACTGGATGAAATTTTCATCACACTTCCAGCTCCCAAACCTACTGCTAGAAGCCGCTACAGAGGTTCCAACTACACGGCACCACCTGTAAGCATGAGTACGTTTATGAACATTTATTCGGGTTGCTTTCTGGGCTCCAGCTTGGTCCATATGGCTGGTCAAAAATTCCGAAGGGCTGACCAGATAAAGAAAGGTGACAAAGTATTCACAGGCACCGGTCTAATTGATGAAGTAGAATGCGTGTTGAAGACTTGTTACGACGACGACGAACCTCAACTTCTGTATCAAATTAATGAGAACCTCGTCGCCACTGCTTGGCACCCTGTAAAAAACGAGGCCGATCAATGGACATTTCCAGCTGAATCGAGCTCAGCGAAGGCCATCACAGTCTACACAGAAGGCGTGTACACTTTCCTGCTCAAAAACAGAGGTACTATTTTACTCGGTGACACTGAATGCGCAACTCTTGCTCATGGTCTGCAAGGTGAAGTGATTGAACACGAGTTTCTGGGAACTGAGACTGTGGCAGCTGATTTGAAACGATTCGATCAGTTCCAATCTGGACTGGTAGAAGTGACACAAGAAGCGTTCCAGAGGAATCCAGATACTGGAAGAATCAATGCTATCAGGATGAAATAATTCATCCGCTTCAAAGACAAATCGCTAAAAAAATATTTTGTAGATAGACCAAAAATCTATTATAACATAGTTTCAGCTTTCTAACAAAAAGGTGTATTTTTGCCACAAGTAATACTATTAACAAACTTTCATCGCAATTTTGGAGAAAGTTACAGAGCGCAGATATCAACGTTTTTAAAATCATCGCATAAAAAAAGGATAGCTGGTTACTGTGCAAGCAGCACAGAATGTTCCAACTATAGCCTTTAAAAAACAACTAATTTTTTTTTCTTCAAATTAGTGTATTTTCTGCGTGGTGTGATCAGAGGATCTGACACAAACTATAAATTAGGCATTTTCGACTGTCATAGTATTATAGGCAAAACGGATAAAAAATTTTGTTGAAAGAACAAAGAAATCAAAAAAATTTTTTAAAAATTTCAAGATTTTTTTTTTCAAATTCTTTTGCAGAAAATTTATTGAATTTTTTTGTGAAGTTTTTGGTTCCCAAATGGCGCTAAAAACTCCAAAAACCAATTTAACTTGCTTGAAATTACGTTTTCAGGGCCTAAATTAGGCACAATTAGGCTGTTGTAAGCCTGCTCGCTCACTTTATTCGCTCAAAATTGAAATAAAAATTAAAAATTTCGAAACCAGTTTTTCTCAACGAGATTTTTTTTTTAATTTTAAAATTTCCTTCGAATCACAAGTAAAAGAGCTTCAATTTGGTATAACCATTCCAATGATTATTTTTGGAACCTGATTTTGCGTTGAAAACAAAAAAAAACTAAAACACATGCACATCCGAATACTAAGTTCCTCGACATTTTGCAAATGGTCGGAACAAAAACAATTTTTAATTTCAGTAAACAGAGCAAATTTGATACGAAACGAGCAAAGTGGAGAACAGCTAGCAAAGTGGGTGGCTAAACAAATCAAACATAGCCTAAAATATCTTTAAAAAAATCGTAAATGAATCCTGGAAAACATGACAAAACGATCCTTCCAATTTGTATGATTGCTCATTTCGATAAATTTGTCTTTTGGTTTTCATTGGTGACTTCACGCCAGAAATCGCTTATTTCAAAACGTACGCAACATTTAAAACCTAGTGTGAAAAACAATGGATCATATGCGTCAAAGATGTACGCTATTACCGCTGCTCAAGTGACGGCAACACACCTAATAGCTGATTTCAACTTAATGACGCCACAGTAACTTTCGCCACCATCTCCAAACCTGCTAAAAGTCTATTTTACTTTAAAGGCCTGCTGCTGAAAAAATTAACGAATTCTTAGAGGTATTATCAGCAGAGCTAGAAAAACCAAAATGGCATACTTAGCTTAACTCAACGACATTTTCAAAATTTGCTATCGGCGAAAACCTCCTGTGTACGCCTCTACTTGCATTTCTAAAATTTAATTTTGCCGAATAAAAAAATTGGTCGTAGTGAATATGCATCGGAGCTTTCCACAACCTGTTGTTTTGATTGAACGCAAAATCTCAAAAAAACTCTTCCGAGGGCCATGAATTTTTGTGGAAAAAAGTAGGGGGTAGCCGTTTATACAAGGGAGCTTCCCAAAACCCATTGAATCCAGATTTATAAAGATAGGAGGTAATTTTTTGGGAGAACGAAAAAGTCCAACCAAAAATGTGGGTCAAACCTTCCCCCACATACTTTTTTGAAAGCTATAGACAGTAGGGTGAAGTGAAGAGACCAACAAATTCTACAGGCGCACAGAAGAGTAGGCGGTCTTTGCATTGAAACATTTTTTTTGAAATTCGGTAGAGTAGTTTTCTACTGAATTATCATTTATGCAAAAGTGAAAAAAAAACTTTCAAACGCTTCTCAAAAAAGTAAAAATATAAAACCTAATCCCATACATTTTCATAAGACCACATTTTATCGAACAGGAAATTTTTGGCCATCAAAACAACACAATATAATTGACTAAGCCGGTACAACATCAGCCGAAATCTTTTAGTCGGCAAAAAAACATTAAAAAACAAAAAAATTCAAAATTAGACTTGGTAAAATGACAATTTACAGAGCTTTCCATTGTTATGCCGACTTAACATAAGCAGACATATAATAAGCCGACAATTTTTAGCAAGTAAGAATATCTTGTTTGAAAAAAAAATAATCCCGGTCAAATTATAACCCAGGATCTTTGCAGTCCCAGGCGTATTTGTTGCCTCCAGACTAAGCGTACCAGAGAAGCTTAGAAGTTTGAATTCATTATGAACCAAGATACCAAGTGATTCTGTTAAACACATTGTTTTTCCTAAGTCTATTTCGATTTGATAACGCTTTCTAATCGCAAGTGTAATTAATTTCAAAAATACTTGAATATTGTTTGACCTTCTAAAAGCGTGCACAGTGGACCTTTATATGGACGGTGATAAAGCCTGTTATAACCAAGAAAAAGCCGAACTTTTCAATCACTATTTCCATTCCGTCTACAGCAATAATCAGTAAGAGCCAAAAATTGACACCGACAGCGACAATGAGACCCTTTTCAGTCACTTCCCTTTTGACGGCGAGAAAATAAGAATTTATACATAAAAAAAAACGTAAATTTATATATAAAAAAAACGTAAAGGCCCCGATAGAATGGTCAAGAATCTCAAATTCCGTCTGAAAGTCACTGCTTTTATTTTTCACCACCATAGTCAACAAACAGCGTTTCCCCTCCAAATGGAAAACAGGTGAAATAAAACCAATTCAAAGAGAACGACAAACAACTTACCTCGAACAACGACCTATAAGTCTTATAAATGCTTGGGAAAATTAACTTTGACTAGATGTATTTGGCGGTTCGACCGATGCTGCATTTACTACTCGCAGCATGGTTTTCTTCAAACAACAACCAACCTGATAGGAGGCTATCTGCATGAAATCTATCTACTCTTTGACAAGAACATAAACACTCTGAATCTGAATAATTTAATTTGTTTGTTGAGTTGATGCTGGCCCTGCCGACCCAAAGGCTCCCCCCTTTAATACTTTTTCAGAAATCCATTTTTGGCCGACCGACCCTAAAATTTTTCTAAAAGCGCTTTAAGCGCCAATATATACTAACTTTGAGGGGGAGTGCGCGCCAAAAAAAGCGCGATTTTTTTGTTAACATTTTTCAAAAATTGCCCAAAAACGGCTTTTTGACTGTTTTTTCAAAAATTTGCCTGCGGCTTAGAAAATTTAGCCAAAATAGGGGCAAAACAGTGCTTTTGGAGAGCTCGAAAAATAAATTTGGTCGACCTAAAAAAAATGGTCGTCAAAATTTTGGAAACTTTTTTGAAAATCCGCCCCCCCCCCCTCGAGAAAACCCTAGATCCACCCCTGCCTTGGACTGAGCAAAAGCTACTTAAGTAGCAGGTTCAACACGTTCGTATCGGAAATTGCATCTCCACGAAATTGTAATAATTAATGGGGTTCCTCAGGGCTCTTTTACTCGGCCCGCTAATGTTCATCATGCACATAAATGACCAAACAACGACTGCAATATCCAGCTGCTACGCCGATGGCTACAAAGTTGTCTCAGACAAGGCTAGGACGCTGAATGTAGATGCTATTAAAATATGGAACTTATGCTCAAATTGGTCTTCATATGAGCGAAAGCAATTTCTCCAGTTGAAACGCAACACATCTGTTTTCATGACAAACAACATACCGAAAACAGACTCCATGAAAGATCTCAGACAAAAACATGAACAAACTTGACCTGCACTGACAAGCCAAATCCAGATCCGCCACATCTTTGAAAGCCTTCTTAGCTCGCAAATAGCTCAACATTCAATAAAAAAAGAATGCCTATAGAGGCTGCGAAGTGCCATTAATTAGCTATCGCGCGTCATTATGCAAATCATCCAAGTTCGACCTAGCAGCCATTGAGAAGGTGCAGCACCGAGCAAGTGGTTGAATCCTGGGCACAAATGAGCTCTATACGAAGCCCGATAGGAGAAATGGCAATTTTGACCATTATCGTCATATCACGAGATGCAGGTGGTGCTACTTTTTGCTGAATTATTACCTCAAAAACTGATATTGACTGGTCAAAATTTGTTCAGATTAACAAAACTGGTGAAACAACATCCCGTGCAGAACCTATTTATGCCAGCAAGTGCTTCTGTCTGCTTAAATGTGGTTCAGATTTTTGACAAAAAGCCAGCTACCTTACAAATTTTTGAATCGTTATCAAAATCACTATGTCGTTTTTTCGAAGAAATGCGAGGAAATACTCACGAGAATCTATTGACACTACTTCATGGAGAAATGGATCGACAGTTTCAACTGCACGTTATTCGGTGACTGCACAAACTTCATTAACTGTGCCATGCTAAATTTTTGAGATAACAAAAA